TTATTGTCACAAGTGCGCCGCATTCGCGATTGTTGCCCGACGCCTGTTTGCAGGTGAGCCCACTACAGCTGTTATACATATCTAAAAACCGATAAACTTTTAGGCGAAAAAGGCACTATTCCAGGCCCATTTTTGATTTTTTTTTGCGATATTAGGTAAAAACAGAAGCTTCTTATCCTAGGAAAAATAAAATGGGAAATTTTTTCAAAGGTGGCACACTACCTTTAAGCAGAGCTGGGCAAGTGCGTTTCTGCGTTCTTGCGTAGGTACGTTCGCACCGCCTTTTTAGGAACGCAAGAACGCAGGAACGCAAAGTTTTTCAAATTAACGCAAGTAAGAGGAACGCACCACCCGAAATTGTGAAGCGTTCCTCATTTTGTGAAGTGCGAACCCTGCTATATACCATGAAAAAATGTGCCCGAACTAGAATTTGTCCGATGTAACAAGAACTCAGAACCCCCAGATAGGTAGATGAGTTGTTGGATATTGCTGCCAATGACCTCTGTGTCAAATGTTTGAATCTCGAGTACGTGTGTTTGCCGGTAGAGGCGCCACTTGTCGGTCGAATCGAGGAAGGCTTGTTTAGATTTAGTGGTGACTGGTGATGTTTACTATGCGATTCGGTTTCAGGCATTAAATGTGTAAAGTAAATATGATAACTTTTACCTACTTAGATACATCTTTCAACTTAACTATTGTTTTCAAGCAGGTCGTATTTTTGTTGAAAACCCTACGGATGATATTGGTAAAACGTATTTCAGATATTATATTCGGAAAAGAGGTGTCGAGTTGCTTTTCGGCCCCGCGTCGCCATTCTGGGTATTCTGTGATCGATTCGCCCCGTGTTTGGTTGGGCCCGCGCCGCGTGGTTCGGCGGTATTTTTGAGGGAGGAACGCAGGAACGCTAACGCACCGAGCGAAAAAAAATTGAGGAACGCTATTCCAGGAACGCACTAACCGCGGCCGGAGGAACGCTGGAACGCTAACGCACTACCGAAAATCGAGGAACGCGCCCAGCTCTGATTTTAAGTTCCAATGTTAGGCCACATAACAAACTACCATACAAACAACGGGCATATTAAAGCTGGCTTCTTCTTGCACCAGGTGGCAGCACTTCTTTTCGAAAATCATTGCTTATCTTTCCAAAATCGTGATTTTCTCGCTGAGGAGTGAAATCGGCTTCATCGGTGTAAAAAAAAATAACAGAATCGTTGCCTTTTTGGCACATGTGACAAAAATAGCACGTGCTAAAAAGGACGACGATTGACCAAACCTCCCTCGACTGAGTGAGTGAAAACCAGGGTATATTGAGTGAAGGGTAGAACGAACTTTGGTAGGAATTTCTAGTATAATTACTAGACAACCTACTATATGTGGTCGGGACTAGCAAAAAGTTAGTTCAAACTAGAATATGGTAGCGCTTATGGTTGGCAGTCGTGGCGCGCACGTGACATTCATTTGTTATATTTCTTAAATAACAGGTTTTAGGGGCCGATTAGTGGGTAGATACATTCAATTAGCTATTAATAATTGATTATGCAAACATTCAAGAATCTACATCATTCAATTCTAGCCAAAATCACTCGGCGCTCCCAGAATTCGAACTCATGACCCTCGGATCCGTAGCCCGATACGCTACCGACTGCGCTACCGAGGACCGCGCCCCGACGATCGAAGAGGCGGATCGCGGGCGCTGGCGTGCAGAGAAATCTTTACCCTGTACGCCGTAGAAGATCGGCTGGGTTTCGTGAAAAATGGTAGAGGAATTGTCGAAAGAAAATTCATCGATCTATCATTTGAGACTAAGAACCATTGATTTCTTCAAAGGTTGACCGAGATATTGCTCGCCGAAAACAGGCCATTTAACATGTAAACCCTATGGGCTGGTAGGAAATGTACGCCGTGGAGCAGCAGTGCTACCAACTAACTTCGGCGGGGGCCGAGTGAAAACTGTCCAGCCACCAGACTCCTAGTTGGATGAAGGCTTAGCCATGTGTTAACCCGGCAGTTGCTGGGGTATTTCGCCACCCACCGTTTGCTGGGGGGGGGGGGGGGGCGTTAAACGCTCCCAGCCGATAACTCGAGAACCAATAGGCGCAGCGAAATGCAGGAGGCGGCAAACGAAAGAACGCGACTAGACGCTTCAGATGAGTACTTTGAAGTTGAATTTTGAGGTCACAGGTTGGGTCAAGGCCAGGTCAAACACCTTGAATCAGGCTTTCAATAGCATGGACTTCAGGACTTCGCAATGGGCGTCTCTCGTCATAAACTCTGTCAAAACGGTGCACAATCCATCATATATAAGGCCTGCAAGAGTGTCAGCTCCATGTAGAGGTCAGGCAAGCATAGGTCAGGGTCAAGGTCTGACCTTGACCTTGAAGGTCAGGTCAACCGGGTAGGCACATATCCCCGAAAATCAAAACTGATAATTCACAGCCTGTGACACATGTTCATGGGTAATTTGGGGCGTAGAACACGGTGGTGACATTCATTTTATCGTATGTGTACAGCCCTCAGCAGACTGCGTGGTAGGTACTCTTTTTTCGATAAAACCGATAATAACTAAGAGGCTATGCTATCAGTCGGTCAGAACTTAATGCAAATAGGTGCGCCATGCTCCACTCCTTCGATTAGGTGTATCACTAAACAAAGTATAGGCCTGGTGTGGCAACAAAATGCAAAAGTTTGTTTTGGGGGCAAATACAAACTTTTGGGTTTTGTTGCCGAACTAGATGGAAAATAAATACGCTAATGATGCCAATCTAAGGTGCGGAGTTTCGCGCGTCTTGCTATTACGATTTGCGAATGACCGATAGTATAGTATTCGCATTATTCTCGTTTTTGTCGAAAAAAGAATACCTACCACGCAGTTTGCAGAGGGCTGTACGTGTTTGCATCAAAAAGTTGAATTTAAGAAATGCATGTATCATGGTCGTGAAGTAGTCACGAGAAATTGCCAAGATTCAGTTCAAGATTTTGGAAAATGCGGAAAGATATTTTTTGAACACATGCCGTTTTGGTCGAAAACTCAGAAATCATGACGTCACTAAAACCTCGATATCTTAACCCACGCCGGCACAGGCCATTTTGAGTCCTTCGACGGCACAAGGGGGGGGGGGGTTGGTACGACCCCCCCCCCTCGCGTTTGGCCCCTGATCGAGCTAGAGCTTCGCGGAAAAAACGAGCGTGTTGCCCGTCACGAGAGGAAGCCAATGATACCCAATTTTAAGGTCCTAGGTCATCGGGTGACCTTCCAGGTCAGGTCAATGACCCGAAAACCGGGAAAATCGGGACCTGTTAGAAAGTCGTAAAGTGTGGCTGCTATGTGGTTTTCCGGGGTGCTGATCACGAATATCGTGTTAGTTTTGATCAGAGATGATGTCTTTAAGCATTTAGACCAGGTCGGGTCAGGTCAGGTCAGGTCAATCGGTAGGGGTTGTGACGGGTATTCGTAATACGTGTCAACCGCCTCGAACAGCTTCGTAACATGTTACGAAGACACCAAAACTACTTCGTAAATGTTCAAATGGTTGCTAAATTCGAATTCAGCTCCAAAAACTAGCCTAGAAACATGTAAAACTCGAAAAAGTGAACCGAGGTCACCCGAGATCACCAAAGGTCAATGACCTGACCTGACCTTCAGGTGACCTTGACACCCACCCTAATGCATGGGAGCAACATCAAATCACATGTTTGAACGTTTGAAACCACGAAAAGCTTGCAAACGCGCGGCTAATGCGAGCCGACATGCGCCGAACCGCGATTTCGGCCAAACATGGTCACAGAAAAGAGGTCACAGGTCAAAGGTCCTTGGGGTCAGGGTCATGAAATTTTCAGGGTAGGTGTAAAATTGATCAATGCGAGGGTACTGAAAATTTCGTCGCGATCGGCCGCTTTTTACGCGAGTTATTCGCGAAAAACCTTAGGGGGGGGGGGGGGGTTGCATCAACCCCCCCCCCCCTGTGCCGGCGAGGGTTAAGAATTTCCCGACCGATTTTTTTTTAACTTTGTCACAATAAACTTCAATCAATTCTGTACAGGTACCCAAAATTTGGCGCCTGCGGCGCGCCGTTTTTATGCTATGGCCCGGCGAAAAATCCCCCCAGCAACTCGAGGGTTAAGTGATTATTGTTATCCCGCGCCCGGCTGGGGGTCCTGGATTTCCACGCCCTGCTGGGGGGGGGGGTGTTTGAACACCCCCCCCCTTCTAACTCGGCTCCTGGGCCACATAGCGATACGCAGAAAGCGGCGTTCGAAAGAGCGCCAAAAATAATAATGAAATCGCTTCGGGCACTTTTGGTCAGGTCACCAGAGGTCATAGAAGGCAAAATTTCGCCGATTTCCAGGTCGAATGTCGACAATTTCCAAGAAGCCAACGCATAACTCGGGAACCAATAGAGCTACTGTAGCGTTTTGGTACCCTCAGGGTATCTGGGGCATCTATCAAGGAATGCGTAAACCAAAAATGAGCCTGATCTGACTTGGATGGCGGCAGGCGGCCAGCGCCTCAATTGTGAACAAGCCAAAATGCTGATAATTTTTACTTTAACCTGACCTGTGACGTCATCGGTCACGGGTCACCTCGAGGCCAATGAAATTAGGGTTCCATCGACAGTTTTTCCAGGGCTATCAGGCGGCGTTGAATTTTGACGATCGGCCCAGTAAATTTGGAGATAAGAGGGGGGACTCTGTAGAGCGCCGTCCCCTCCCCCCAGTTACTCGCGTTATGAAAACTACCGCAGTCTTGCGCGGGTTAATAAAAAGTAATAGCATACTACACATGTAACAGTTTGCATTAACCCATTTGGCGGAGGTAACGGTAGTGGACCTCTAAGATTTTGGTTGGTAGTGGCGTCCACCTCTGGTTGCTTGTTTTATAAGGCTGACGCACTCTGCGGACGATATGAGTATCCGTACATACAGTCTGGCCGCCAGCCGACCTTACTGATTCGTGAGTCTTAATGCACCATTTGACCCCCGTGCTGCGTGTGCCATTGCAGGCGTTGGCACGCCCCCTGATCACCGTCTACGATGAGAAGAACGAGAAGACCGGGCAGACGGTGTCTCTGCCGGCCGTGTTCCGGGCGCCCATCCGGCCCGACGTGGTCAACTTTGTCCACCAGAACATGTCCAAGAACGCCCGCCAGCCGTACTGCGTGAGCCGCCTGGCCGGCCACCAGACGTCGGCCGAGTCGTGGGGCACCGGCCGCGCCGTGGCGCGTATCCCGCGTGTGCGCGGCGGCGGTACCCACCGCTCCGGCCAGGGAGCGTTCGGCAACATGTGCCGCGGCGGCCGCCGCTTCGCGCCCACCAAGCAGTGGCGCCGCTGGCACCGCAAGATCAGCGTCAACATGAAGCGCTATGCCGTGTGCTCGGCGGTGGCGGCCACAGGCGTGCCCGGCCTGGTCATGTCCAAGGGCCACATGATCCAGGAGACGAACGAGGTGCCGCTGGTGGTCAGCGACAAGGTGCAGGAGTTCACCACCACCAAGCAGGCGGTCAGCTTCCTCCGCCAGACCAACTCCTGGCCCGACATCCAGAAGGTGTACAAGTCGCAGCGCACGCGTGCCGGCAAGGGAAAGCTGCGCAACCGGCGCCGCGTGCAGCGCAAGGGCCCGATCGTGGTGTTCGCCAAGGACCAGGGCCTGAGCCTGGCGTTCCGCAACATCCCCGGCATCGACACCATCAACGTGGAGGCGCTGAACCTGCTGAAGCTGGCGCCGGGCGGCCACGTCGGCCGCTTCACCATCTGGACCGAGTCGGGTACGTTGGGCCGGGAGGGCGCAGGGTGGATGTCCGATGTTGTCATGCTGCATGGGCGATTGGGTGTCGTAAGTGGGACGGGGGGGGGGGGGGGGGTGGATAATAATTACATGATGATATCTGCTTGTGTCCGGGCCAATGAGAGTACCTTGATTAGATAACAAGCTCTGAGATTAATATGCTGTTGCTCTTATTCATTGTTTGATTTCCGTGATGTAATGCTGTTTGAATGTCATCCACAGCCTTCAAGAAGCTGGACTCCCTGTACGGCACGTGGCGTGCTCCCTCCACCCTGAAGAAGGGCTTCAACCTGCCTTCCACCAAGATGGCCAACACCGACCTGGCTGCTCTGCTCAAGGCGCCGGAGATCCTGCGCGTCTGCAGGAGGCCCAAGTACGTTCACCATCCTCCCTCTCCTCCGCTACTCTGGTGGCTGGTCAGGCCAAATTACCCGGTGGCATGGTTCCCGTTAAACTGATGATTAAGTTATCCGACAGTACAGGCTGACGATCTTTTACTTGCCCTCTCTGACGTACCCATGTCGTATCCTCGACATTAGCAGTGCCATGCCGTGGTTTGACGCCCTGTCTCCCGTCTATGTGCACCCGCAGCAAGGTGGTGGCCAAGCGGCAGTCCAAGCGCAACCCGCTGCGTAACGTGCACGCCATGCTGCGGCTCAACCCGTACGCTGCTGTCGTTAAGCAGGCGGCGCTCGGCGAGGAGAAGAAGGCCACTGAGCTCAAGGCGGCGCGCGCCGACAAGGCCAAGGTAAGCAACCCGGCGGCACTCGGAAAAATCACGAAATCGCCTGAATTTATTTGTTTTTACTTTTTACCCATCAGCTTTTTGTCTTGTGTCATTCTGTCCTTGGCTAGCAATGTTAAAATCAGTGAGGTACGACGTTTTCCAATAATGCACAGGTTTTTAACGGAGCACGTAAAATGGTGACGTCTGCTGGTTCAGCTGCATGGGTGCGTCTGAGTTGAATTCTCGATAATTCAGCATTACTCCATGATCCCTAAAAAGACGACTGGAAAGCTCAAATATCTTCTCCGGGTTGTTTTTATTTACGGTTATCTCGGCGAAAACCGGTGCAACCCCGTGTTCAGTTATTAGTTTGGGGACGAGTTGCCCTCCCCGAAGTATGTCAACATCATCCTTAAATCTATGATGGCACAAACAGCTGAAGCCAACGGACCGCGAGTGTCTTCAGAAGGGGCTTGTTACCGACCGATGGCTGTGGGGTGCGTGCATGCCGACCGGTGCTGAATCGCTCACCGCAGTGTCAATTAGTCTGGTCTGTGTCTGTCCTGGGGAGGGCGCCCTCTCGGGCTGCCGTTGTCGCTTCCGCTGAGGGTGCGCTCCTCTGTCTCGGCGTTACAGAAAGCGGCCGCCTCCCGGAAGCCCAAGAAGGTGGACGAGGAGGTACAGAAGCGTAAGCAGGCCCGCCAGGAGGCCGGCAAGAAGAAACTCGAAGCCGTCAAGGCCAAAATTGCCGCGTCCAAGGCCAAGAAGGGCAAGAAGTAAACTTGTCCCCACGGCTGAGGCTAAGACATTGCCTTTCAATATATTATAATTCCCGGTTTTTGTTGTTTTCTATTGTATACTCTTCTGGTTTCTGCAACCGCTTGGAGGGTTTTGAAGGTGTCTGGTAGTGAGAACCTTAGGAAAATTCAATGTAAAGCAGATTCAAGTATTTGCTAACTTGCTTTTCTAAACCTAAGAACATCATCTCTTGTTATTGATTATGGGACCTGGTTCACTAGAGGGAGCAGTTGACTTCTCGCGTGGTACTGTGGAATGTCTGGGGCGGCCGGCTGGGCCTCCGGGGACCTGGTTTTGCCCGGGCCTCCCGGCCGGCGTGCTGCCGCCTGCCGTAAACTGAGGCGATCGGGCTCGGCTGGGAGTAACAAGCGACCTTTGTAAGGTTGACATGAAATAAGGTACGTGATATGCCATCGGAGGGAGGGGTGGCGTGGCTGGTGCTACTGTGGGATTTGGGAATTGGTATAGCGCGCTATGCTTTTGATTCCAGCAATGCTAATGATTTCTAGTGAAAATCGAACATTGAAATGCGACGGTACTACCGGTACCAGCCCTTCAGTAGCTTTGTGATGTTACCGCTCGCATCCCGGCAGTCTTGTCAGTACGGAGTAGCATAACGCGGACCTTTTCAGGTTTGCCGGGTGCTGCTGATCAGAATGACCGCTCCATCGCTGTGCTGACCACTCCATGGCCCGGCCGGGGTGGCGCCGACTGCGGCGTGACGGCTTCGTTCAAGACTAGACTGGTGAGCATGCCGGCGGTGGCTAATCAGGGATAGCGACTTTGGGGACGACCCGCTTCACCGATGTAACATTTGCCGCGGTGTTGGACGAAAGTTTAACGTGCCGTTGGGCGTAGATATAATGTGGTTTGTTCGACAGTATGTGCGTGATAGAATGAATGGACGTGCGGCCGGTCCTAACGATATTACATTGGAGTGTGTCTTCATATGCTGACTGTCCCGTCGTTGGGGTGTTTCTGTCTTCACTGTGCACTGTAGATATAAAGTATGTGGAACAAAGTTTTAGATGTCAGCTGGCTTTGGTGTCCATTTACATTACTGACTGGCATGTCAATTAACAGCCGGTGGACTTTCAATGTTAAATTTTGCTGGTGTTCTTGTCGTGACTCGGTGCAGCCTTTGAATCACTCCATCCTAATTTAGGCAGTAACCATGCATGAATGACAGGCATTTGTAAGAATCCATCAGACGCCTCGTCGGCTGTGTTTGGTTGTTCAGTAAAGTGTAGTTGACTCACGGTTGCTAGCGATCCTCGCACCTCTAGTCCCGCGACTTGCTATCGTTCCATATGTTCAAGCTTATTGACTTATCCCTTTGGGGAAGGCGAGCTTGCATGGCTCGGTGTCATTTTTTCATTTGGTGTTTAATAGCTGACACTACTGAAAGCTTTGCTATAATAAGACGGCGAAATGAGGTTGACACGGCACATTTAGACCCGGGCTTTCACATACAACATGATGATTAAGTTTGCAGACATCAGTATGATGAGTCGAACTTGCCCTCTCTGAAGTGATTACCTACCTTTTTTGTAATGGATTCTGGTTGTTCATACAGTAATGCTGTGCAGTTCTCCTTTCCAGAAAAATATCGATTTCGAAGCACTCAGTGCAAGAAAATATGCTCAGTGGCGATTGGATCATGGCCGTAGAGGTATGTATTGGGAGCAAATGGTACCGGGGGTCACATCTGCGTGTATCTCATCAGCTTTTTTACTTTTTGAATTATGCGACTTGATAATGATGATCCCTGCTTGTGTCCGGGCCAATGAGAGTACCCTGATTAGAACAACAAGCTCTGATAAACCACTAAATATCCGCCATTGCTCAAATTATCCCTGTCTGGATTATCTGACGTTATGCTCTCTGTGTTCCAGGTCGCTTTCCGGAAGACACGTATGATTTCTACACGGACATCGTGTAAATATGGTCTGGGTGATAGGCGAAATGTTCCTGATACGGTGCAAATTCGTCACAGGTGAGTCTCGTTCCAATTTTTCGTACTGAACTTGTATCGGTACTGACCACCCGTAATGGCCAAAACTGCTGAAATGATGATTAAGTTAACTGACGCGCTGCGAGTGACGAGTTCTACTTGCCCTCTCTGAGAACGCTCCTCTGGTGCCCTGCTGCCTCGGATGTCACCTGTCCGCCAGCTGACGGTCTGTTCACATCACCGCAGGTGCCGGGAGTAGCGGCGGAGACTGCGGCCGTCGTCCGGTCCGCCCCTGGCCGGTACCGAGGCTGACGTGAACCAGACTTCCACACAGCCAGGTGTGTATTGTGTGTACTGTGTGTGGTGGTATATTAACAGCCGTTTCTGTTTTAACCGGTGATGTATTTGGGGGGCTACCTGGGACGAGGGCAACGGGAGAGAAACTCGTGTGATGATCCCTGCTTGTGTCCGGGCCAATGAGAGTACCCTGATTAGAACAACAAGCTCTGATGAATGTAACGCCATCTGGATGCACTCATGGACGTGCCCTGTGCACTGTGCAGCGTTTTGATGAGCGTTTTCTGGTTTCGGAGCACGACGATGGCTTATCCTGCACGGTGGGATTCTACTGGTCAGAAGAGGATCTGTCGTTTATGGTATGTTGAATGCTGAAGGTCGACTGTCAAGTCAAGACACACATTTTTATTTTGAATGCATTGGTAGTCGGCATCCTGTCAAAGCCAAATGGAATCAAATTTCTGATTCAACATGCTCTTACGACTTTCTTGCCTTACGAGCTAATTTGCCCTCTCTGAAGTGACTTCAGTCTAAGTTCAATCAAGTGTGACGGAGTAGGTCGTTGACATTTTCTTTATCTTTTCTCCAGGCTCCCGGTAATGGGTACACGTAATATTCAAGACCACGTCTTATGCGGGCGGATTACTGCAGGCCTCCGTTAGGTGACTACTGCCTAAATTAAGGTAAGGACCGTTATTAATGCAGGGCATAACGCAGCAATCTACCATTCCAGCATAACTATTGAGGAATGAAAGTATATGGTATTTTGTAATAGTCATTTTTAAACTTTTGTCCAGTAAAGCTGCAAAATAAGCCATTTTGAAAGCGATGCATCTCTGCACAATCTGGTTGTATTTCAACGTTTAAGTGAAATGCTATAAGTTAAACTAACTATAAGTAGGGGAAACCCGGGAGGTATGGGCCGGTTTTGTGAAAAGGCAATTTTCTTCCACTGGGCAGTGGCTAGACCCGGTTTTTCACTCTGTGCACGTGAAATTGCCTTTCGCCTGCAAAGTGTGCCTGATATTAGGCATCTGGGATCAACTATTTTGTCTCGAGATAACTTTCAATAAATGTGCTTTTTCGATCCATCAAAATACACCGGGAGGTATGGGCCATGGCCCGGAGGTATGGGCCGGTGCCATGTTTCATATTCTTTTCTCGACAATGAGAACAATACTCGAAGCTGGTATATTTATACCTTGATCTCTCTTAGAGCCCAAGAACCGCATAAGCGGCCAACAGCTTACTTCATGGAGGTCACTTGGGCACATATGTATTTTGGTTAAACTCAATCATGCACCATGAAATAAAATAAACAATGTTTTTCTCTTCGAATGAAATTTGAAGTTGAATTTTCAGTCCTTGCGCGACAAAAATAAAACGTATTGAAGATGACACTCAATGAAAGCATCTTTTTATTGATTTAGGATGAATGGGGGTGGGTGGCCCGAACCTCCCGGTTAGCAGGGCTGCGGAGTCGATGGATTTTCGGCGACTCTGACTCCGACTCCGACCCCGGCTTCCAAAGACCAGCTCCGACTCCGACTCCGACTCCGGGCAGAATTGTCGACTCCGACCGACTCCAACTCCCGACTCCGACTCCGCAGACCTAGCAGGGCTGCGGAGTCGACAGATTTTCGGTGACTCCGACTCCGGCTCGGGTTTCTAAAATCGACTCCGACTCCGACTCCGGTCACAACTGTCGACTCCGACCGACTCCGACTCCGACTCCGACTCCGCAGCCCTGCCGGTTAGGACGCCAGAATTTGCGTAGCATCTCGCAAGAAAGCTTCAAATTGTCTTTCCATTCTTAATTTGCATGCTTTTAACTTTATGTTAGCATGATTGGTCTGACATCATAAAACGAGCCTGGTTCAAATTTATCACGAATTTTCTGTATGTACACTTTGTACAGTATTTTACTCGAAAGGGGGCAAAAACGCTTTATCACCGCACATTGCCAAAGAAGACTGAGGAAGATTTTGAAAATCACGTGGGCTGTATAACGGAATGGCTGCTACCAGTTTACGCGTTCAAATGTGTATAGATACACAACACTTCAAAACTGCGATGGCCCATACCTCCAGGGGGCCCATACCTCCCGGGTCTCCCCTATAGTTTCATGCTTCGCTTGGGAAGCGACGTAAAGCATGAAACAGACTTGCCGCAGTCAGGGAATCGCATGCGAGAGCCCATTCAAATGCATGAAAGCCCGGCTCATTTAAGTGTTTGGGGGCCCGCCAGCCTATAATCGGTGCCGTTTCGGCCCGGCGAAACAAAACTGGTAAAATACTGGTTATCTTATTTTAGACAGAATATTGGAAGTTTTTACGCTTTTATGCAGGTTCAGAAGATGTCAGAAATTGATATCACGGCGAATCAACACGCAGCGAAACCAATATTTGGCATGTAGATTGTAGGCATCTCGTTCATAAGCTTTATGTATAGAAACAACACCCGCGAGTTTTTACATGCAGAATTGTGCGGGTCACGGTACAAAATCGTGCGGGTCTTGGCGCGCACCGCCTCGTCGGCGGGCCCCGCGGGTCCTGCCGGGCTCGGTGTGGCCCGCTAGCCGCGCCAGCGGCTTATACGGTTTAATGAGCCGGGCATGGAAGCACGCTCGCATCAATCGCACGAAACTCCCGCATGCGATTGATGCGGGCAGAATTATAGTGTATTTGAATAGACTCACGTTTCAGCCTGAAGAATATCATGATAACCTGTTTTACCGTCAAATGATGATCTCTGCTTGTGTCCGGGCCAATGAGAGTACCCTGATTAGAACAACAAGCTCTGATATACCACTAATCCACCTTTGTGAAATGTGTCCCTGTCTGACGTCACTGACGTTATGTTTCCTGTCTTCCAGATCACTTTCCGGAACACACATCAGCTCATGATCTGTACACGGACATCATGAAATGTTCTCCTGGGTGATGGGCCAAATGTTCTTGATGCGGCGACGTCACAGGTGCGTCCCGTTCAGATTTTTCATACTGACCTTGTATCGGTACTGACCACCCGTAATGGCCAAAACTGCTGAAATGATGATTAAGTTAACTGACGCGCTGCGAGTGACGAGTTCTACTTGCCCTCTCTGAGAACGCTCCTCTGGTGCCCTGCTGCCTCGGATGTCACCTGTCCGCCAGCTGACGGTCTGTTCACATCACCGCAGGTGCCGGGAGTAGCGGCGGAGACTGCGGCCGTCGTCCGGTCCGCCCCTGGCCGGTACCGAGGCTGACGTGAACCAGACTTCCACACAGCCAGGTGTGTATTGTGTGGATGTGGTGCGAATTGGTGGTATATTGACAGCCGTTTCTGTTTTAACCGGTGATGTATTTGGGGGGCTACCTGGGACGAGGGCAACAGGAGAGAAATTCGTGTGATGATCCCCGCTTGTGTCCGGGCCAATGAGAGTACCCTGATTAGAACAACAAGCTCTGATGAATATAAACGCTGTCTGAATGCACTCATGGTGCCCTGCGCAGTGTTTTGATGAGCATTTTCTGGTTTCAGAGCACGACGATGGCTTATCTTGCACGGTGGATTCTGCTCGTCAGAAGAGGATCTGTCGTTTATGGTATGTTGAATGCTGAAGGTCGACTGTCGAGTCAAGGACACACATTTTTATTTTAAATGCATTGGCAGTCGGCATCTTATTCGTGTCTAAGCCAAATTGAATCAAAGTTCTGATTCAACATGCTCTTACGACTTTCTTGCTAATATGATGATTAAGTTTGCAGACATTTATGTTTGATGAGCTAAACTTGCCCTCTCTGAAGTGGCTTTCAGTTTAAGTGAAATTAATTCGGACGGAAGAGGTCGCTGACATTTTGTTTGTCTCTTTCTCCCATGCATCCAGTGATGGGTACACGTGATATTCAAGACCACTTATACCTGAGGATTTCTGCAGGCCGTTACGTGGCTGCATAAAAGGTAAGGAGTAAGGACCGTTATTGATGCAGGTCATAACACAACAGTCTAATTTACCGACCCAGCGTAACTATTGGGGATAAAAGTATATCATATTTTACAATATCCAATTTAACTTTTTTAATTGAAGCTGCAAGTCATTTACGGAAAGCGATGAATCTGCCCAATCCGTTTTTATTTCAAAGTTGTTTAACTGGAACGCTAGTTTGATGCTCCGCTTGGGAAGCGATGTATGAACATCACGATGACCTGTTTTACCGTCAAATGATGATCACTGCTTGTGTCCGGGCCAATGAGAGTACCCTGATAAGAACAACAAGCTCTGAACAATGTAACGTCTGGTTCACCGGTGTGTTTAGGTGCTAATCTATTGACAAACGTTGGGTGGTCTGTTTCAGCTCTCGACATGTATTCTGAATCAGTGGTGGTTCTCAGCATCGTGGTGATCGTCTGTCGGCTGAAAAATACTAGTAAGTTATACGCAGCTGTGCAAGGTCCATGTGACCGAGGGGACTGCGGAACTACGGCTAATACCAGCATCTGCGATGCTGGGCTCCGCATCGCGGGACCGCAGGTTGTTTGAGCAAGCACCTTTGTAAACGCAGCAAAAACGCCCGCCGCCAAACGAGAGGATGAGCCTTGCACGTGCAGACCGGAGTCGGTGTGCTACGGACTGACGTGCACGGCACCCTATTCGCCGGTCTATAGCGGTGTGCCAAATTTGAGTGCAATCGACCCGGCCGTTTTCGAGATCTGGAAGCGACACCCTGCACGTGCGCACGTGCAGCCTAAGCCCCAATTGACTTGTGCACGGCACTCTATTCGCCGGTTTCTAGCGATGTACCAAATTTAATCTGAATCGGCCCAGCCGTTTCCAAGATCTGGAAGCGACCCCTACAGGTGCGCACGTGCAGCTGCACCCCAACCGCGGCACATGAAAATACATACTTACTGACTTGTGCACGGCACCCTACTAACCAGTCTCTAGTGGTATGCCAAATTTGAGCACAGTCGGTCCAGCCGTTCTTGAGATATGGAAGCGTCAGCCTGCACGTGCGCACGTGCAAACTGGGTCCCATCTGACTTGTGCACGGCACCCTACTCGCCGAGCCCTAACGGTGTGCCAACTTTGATCACAGTCGGCCCAGCCGTTCTCGAGATCTGGAATCGTCACCCTGGCCTGCAATCTTTCACCCGGTGCAGGGGTTGAGCACCCCCAACCATTTTGAAAAATCGACACCCCTGACCCTGCCCGTGCGCACGTGCAGCGGCACCCCAACCGTGACACATGGAAATGCATCGCCTGGAAAGTGTCTACCTCCATGCCAAGTTTTAGCGCAATCGGCCCAGTAATTACCGAGCTATTGCGCTTATTACAAAACAGGCACCTCTTGGCTTTGCACGTGGAACGTGCGTTAGGGGTCACCCATATGCATCGAGAGTAGCACACTATATGAAAGAAGGGAAAAAGCTACCCCACACAAAAAAACCGTAAGTGTATCAGCCCAGTGGTTGCCGAGATATAAGGTACAAAAACGTCCCCAGACTCCCCACGGCGGCCGGCCGCTATTTAGCAGTAAAATCGTGTCGCATCCTTCTATGGGAGGTATCCCCGTCACCTGTTCGTATACTGTCTGAGCAAAGGCCATACGTTACGGTCCAAACTCCATAGTGAGGCGGACATACGAATTTACGAGAGTTTAGCGACGAAATGATTCACTTGATTGTTAAGTAATGGGTACCATTAGGTAGGCCATAAATTTTCTCTAGCATCTCACCGTAGATGCAGTAAAAAGTGCTTTACTTTTCAATGTATATAAAGACTTGCTCAGCTCAATCAGTTCACTCTGTATTGGCTCAAGCCGTATCATGCGAGCGCAATACAAACTAGAGCACCAGACAGCGCAGCGCTCCCCAACTCACTGCTCGCCCAGTCCACCCGGGCCGCCACCACGACGGCCCCCCGCAAGTAGGCATCCCGCACTGCACCGACAGCCGCGGGCGACCAGCTGACCGGCCAGCTGACCGGCCAGCAGCCGGCGGGCGGCAAGCCGCGGATGGCCGACCCGCCAGCGCGGCGAGGGAAGGGAGGGACGCAGCTGAAAGACCCGACTACATATATATCAAAGAAACATTATATGTAATCATCGATGACGCGACATAAATCTGCTTTATTGGGGTTAGCGGTGTAGTCTGTGATGCCATCACAATGAAAATAGCCTAGTTTTGTGGAGCATCAAATTCTGATTCCATAACGACTCTCGCTAGTCCATTTTCAATTGTAAATAAGCCTTTTATTGCGATGCAAAGTCCCGAAATGGTGCCGACGGCGGCCGGTCCCCCGATGGTACCATACCATAGATGAGGGCTGTTCACGACGTCGGTTTATCCCGTTTAATAAGCCGTAAACATGTTTATTTTTTGAAGGACCAATCAGCGTCGACCTGATCCTGACGTCACATCTCGTCAATGACGTCAGACCTCCGCCGTAAACCGTTTATGCGGTTGATGCCTCAGAGCATCAACATGGCGCGTAAACGCGTTTATGTGACAATGATGGTGATGTGCGGCAAACTCGTGAGGCGAGTTGTGAGTTAGGAAATTTGAATTCTGACAGTGCAGGGGCTGGTAGGTGAATAAATGAGTTTCAAAATAACCCTGCACGGGTTGCAGAGGACCTAGAATGGTAGGTTTTATTATTTCATTGTAATTAAGACCTATTTTGAGCATCGTTCTCTGCTAACCAGCGTCTAGCGTCGTGGGTATTTTGTGTTAACAGGTAAACAGGTTAGTTCACATTCCCGCCGCTATGCGGGCGGCGGCGGCGCCACCTGTCCTCGTGTCCGCCTGACACCGTAACGATATAGGTCTGAGCTCAAATCTCGGTAATGTCGTGCTTTTTTACTATATTTCTCAAAAACGGCAGCACGTGCAATAACGTTGTATATATCATTGGAAAGAGCATCAAAAGTTGTATAAAATATCAACTTTTGACTTAAACATATCTTAAACGTAAAAAGTTATTAAGCAGCAAAGACGCTCCCATTGACTTTCCATGTTAAAATTTTCCATTTTTAAACGAGCTTCAAAAGAGCAAACGAATTCTGACAGCTTAACGAAGCATAACAACATGTTCTATGGTCTTTTCTCAACAAGTCCTGAAAGTTAAAGCAAAATCGTATCATATAATTTTGTACAATGAGCGAATGAAAATGTCTCTGCAAAAACGCCCATTGACTTAACAAGGGGAGCGAAAAAAGTTCAACTTCAAACTCGTGCAACTCAAGTTAACGAATTCTGACGGGTATACGGCGCACACTGGCGTGTACCAGAACGTGTTTGCCATAAAATGCGTGGAAGAAAATCACCTCTTCCTTGGCTCGTTTTCCCGCTATTGGCGATCGCGCAAAAAGTGTCCGAAACCCCGTTGACTTAACATGGGGAAAATGGAATCGCACGTGCCACGTGCCACGAGGTTTTAAGCGAGTAGCGACCGGTGCCATCAGATAGATCGCCTGCGGGAGCCCATACCCTGAAATTTTTACGGAAATCGAGCGATTCGTCTAGGCCCCCGTCAAGTTGCCCCAATTCGCGGCCAGACTTGCAAAACATAGCCCGGAGAAGGACCGCTCCGGTTGTTTTTCAATAGAAAAACACAATTCTATCGAATAGTGTTTGTCTTTTCAAACAACCTGCGGTTATCCGGTTGTTTTTCAATAGAAAAACACAATTCTAACGAATAGTGTTTGTCTTTTCAAACAACCTGCGGTTACCAGCATCTGCGATGCTGGGCTCCGCATCGCGGGACCGCAGGTTGTTTGAGCAAGCACCTCTGTGAACGCAGCAAAAACGCCCGCCACCAAACGAGAGAACGAGCATTGCAAGTGCAGACCGGAGTGTGGGTGCTACAAACTGACGTGCACGGCACCCTATTCGCCGTTCTATAGCGGTGTGCCAAATTTGAGTGCAATCAGCCCGGCCATTTTGAGATCTGGAAGCGTCACCCTGCACGTGCGCACGTGCAAGCTGTGTCCAATTGACTTGTGCATGGGACCCTATTCGCCGGTCTCTAGCGGTGTACCAAATTTGAGCTCAATCGGCCCCGCTGTTTTCAAGATCTTGAAACGACCCCTACACGTGCGCACGTGCAGTTGCATCTCAACCGTGACACATGGAAACACATACCTACTAACTGACTTGTGCACGGCACCCTACTGATCGGTCTCTAGATGTGTGCCGAATTTGAGTCCAATCGGTCCAGCCGTTCTTGAGATCTGGAAGCGTCACCCTGCACGTGCGCACGTGCAGGATGGGTCGTAACTGACTTGCGCACGGCACCCTACTAACCGGTCTCTAGCGGTGTACTAAATTTGAACTCAATCGGCCCGGCCGTTTTTGAGATCTGGAAGCGTCACCCTGCACGTGTGCACGTGCAACCTGGGGCCCAGCTGACCTGTGCAGTGTGCAAGGCACCCTACTACGCGATCTCTAGCGGTGTGCCAAATCTGAGCACAATCGGCCCGGCCGTTCTCGAGATCTGGAAGCGTCACCCTGCACGTGCGCACGTGCAGTTGCACCCGAATCGTAGCACATGGAAATACGTACTAAATGATTGTAACCTACTGATCGGTATCAAGCGTTATGCCAAATTTGAACACAATCGGTCCAGCCGTTCGTGACATCTGGAACCGTCAGTCTGCACGTGCGCACGTGCGTAACGGATCCCATCTGACTTGTGCACGGCACCCTACTAACCAACCTCTAATGGTGTGCCAAGTTTGACTACAATCGGTCCAGCCGTTCTCGAGATCTGGAATCGTCACCTTGCACGTGCGCACGTGCATTTGCACCCCTACCAAGACACATGGAAATGCATCGCGTGAAAAGTGTCTACCTCCATGCCAAGGTTTAGCGCAATCGGCCCAGTAATTACCGGGCTATTGCGCTTATTACAAAACAGGCACCTCTTGGCTTTGCACGTGGAACGTGCGTTAGGGGTCACCCATATGCATCGAGAGTAGCACACTATGTGAAAGAAGGGAAAAAGCTACCCCACACAAAAAACCGCAAGTGAATCAGCCCAGTGGTTGCCGAGACATAAGTCGTACAAAAACGTTCCCACGGCGGCCGGCCGCTATTTAGCAGAAAAATCGTGTCGCATCCTTTTATGGGAGGTATCCCCGTCACCTGTTCGTATACTGTCTGAGCAAAGGCCATATGGGTGTGAGCTCAAATCTCGGTAATGTCGTGTTTTTTTACTAAATTCCTCGAAAACGGCACAACGTGCAATAACGCTCTATATATCATTGGAAAGAGCATCAAAAGTTGCATATCCTATCAACTTTTCACTTAAATATATCTTCAACGTACAAAGTTATTAAGCACCAAAGACGCTCCCATTGACTTTCGAGGTTAAAATTTTTCAATTTTAAACGAGCATAAAAAGAGCAAACGAATTCTGACAGCTTAA